TGCAAATTCCTGATGTCAGAGTTGATCTTTGATTCTGTTTTTGGTCAAATCTATTTTGAACTTCAGACTTCTGTCTAATGTGGTCGGAAACATGTTTCCCGCTTTGCAAATTTGAGAACAATCCTGTGTTTATTCCCCCTGTTAGTTTTTAACTCAGAACACTTTAAAGCTCGTCAGGTTCACTGACAGCTGCTTCGTACCAGTTACCAGAAAATGTCAAACATTAAAAAACAAAGACGTCAAAATGCCTTTGACAGATTCTGTCCTCAGGTTTCAGAAACAATATGTTATTATCTGCCGTGGTGCGCGGACCTTTTTTTTTTTTTACTAACAGAGATCAAATCTATGAAAAAAAGGGTTGCTAAATTGAGGGTCAGTAAAGCGCTCTTTGATGTGGCGTGCTTTTAGCTTCCCTCCAGATATTTTTTTCTGCTCATAACAGCTGACTCACGGCCCTAAAATTGCCGGTTCGAATACCTCTGAGTTCGTGCGTTCAGTCGCAGATGCGCCGAGGCGAAGTTTCCTCACTGCTTGTTAGAGCTTGAGTGGAAGCAGATCCAATTTTTCCCATGAGCCTTTGCCAAATCTCCCCACCTCCTCCTCCCCATCCAGCTGCAGTACCTGGCACCTGTGAACTCCTTTGCACTCGCTAGGAGAGAAATATAGAGCCTCTCCGAAGCACTTTAAGACTAAAAAAAACCCAAATCTGCTCACCTAAAACCAAAGGCCGTATCATTCTTTATCCGTATTGTCGTAGGATATTCGTTTCTTTTAAGTCCTCCTCCTTTAACTGATGCCTGTTGTCTGCCGGGGGAAGATAAAAAGGCCTTTTAACTGATAAAAGCTGCAATATGGAATTAATAAAGCCAGAGTTCCCAGCTTTTTTTTTTTGACAGGTGGCCTCTGGTTGAGGTCAGTAAATGGCTGTGGCCCACATTATTCAGCTCGCAAAAAAAAAAGGAAAACAAAGACTAAAAGGAGGACATAGACGGTGTTAATCACCAAGTGTTTCATTTCCAAAGGTAGAAAACAGGCTTTTCTTCACAAGTTCCACTCAGAGATTTTTCCTAATTCGGTCTTTAACCCTTTAAAGCCTGATCCAGGAAAAATAAGAAGAATATTGGATTTTTTTTAGTCTGAAGTCTTTCTTTGGCCCCTCAACAACATATATAGAATTCAGAAACCGTATTTATCAAATATGACACATATGGCGCTATTGGGTTAAGACCCCCAAAACAGCTTTAAAAGCCCCTAAAAAAAAAGTTTTAAAAGCACAAAAAACAGCTTTAAAAGACCTAAAAAACAGCTTTAACCCTTTAAAGCCCGATCCAAGAAAAATAGGAAGAATATTGGATTTTATTTAGTCTGAAGTCTTTCTTTGGCCCCTCAACAACATATGAAGAAAAAAAACAGAAATGATTTTGATCAAATTAGCGTGCAATAAGTCAAAACTACATTTTGGTGTAGTCTTCTACTGGCTGTTATCAGGTATATCTGAATGTGTACAACAGGGGTTTGAGCAAAGCTTTTACCACTGAATGATGCAAAAAGTCTCAGATCCAAAACACTTCAGAAACCGTATTTATCAAATATGACACATTTGGCATTACAGGGTTAATCTACCAGCTATGCTAACACAACTAAGCCTCGTGTTGGTTGGGGAAAACACCCACATTTTGCTTTGGGACTCCCTGACTCAAAGGGTGTAACTTCCAAATGCTGCTCTGATAAAAACAAAGACTCCGGCACTTAAAGGGATATCAAGAG